CTTCCAGACGGGATTTGATCGCACTATAAATCTCACGGCAGAATAAATCCTTTGTTTCCCTCTTGTTACTGCAAATCCCAGATTTACTTATCTTATAGTTCGGTGGAGTTACTGGATTTGGTCGAAGAAGCATGCCAAAGGGGTAAGTTACCTTCATGGCTAACGACCTCCCATTGCTGCTTGTGATCAAAATGTCGACTTCCGCTCGGACAAGAGGGAATGTCGTGCCAGAGAAGCAGACGGGAAGGGAGAAAGTTACCTTCACTACACGCGAGCTCCCGTTGTTGCTCCTGATCAAAATGTCATAACATCCGCTCGGACAGGGAAGGAAAGTCGTTCGAAGGGGCAAAGTCGAACAACCACGAAGGAGCCGAGGAGGCACGCGACAGGGAGAAAGTTACATTCGCAAACGAGCAAGCTCCCTTCATTGCTTCTAATTCAAATGGCGTAGCCTCCGATCCAACTTGAAGGGAACATCGTCGACAGAACGAAGTCGAACAACCACAAAGAAGTGAAGAAGTGTGCGAGAGGAAGAGGGAAAGAGGTCCCAAGCATTGCTCCCTTCAGCCCCTTTTAACGAAGTGATAGATCTTACGGAGTCGTGGCAGATGCGACGTCGACGTGAATTGTGTAGAGCTTGACATGCCGAGATCATTCGGGTGTCCAGACAGGTACATGAATTCAAGTTTTTTTGTTACTATATGCAAGTCAATAAATGTCCCCTAACAAATGTGGTACGTGTCTAGAGCGAACCACATTTGTTGCATGCTGATTGACCCTGTGGATCTCTAGATATTTATTCTAGATGTTACACTAAAGCTTTCCTTTAGCAGATCTCCAAAGGATTGTTTGGATGTCAAACTAGTTTTTTTTTCTCTATAAATCTTTCGATGTATCCACAAATAGTTGGAATATTGGCTTCAGTCAAATAGGGATCCAAAGGATAGTGATATAGCACTTTGTATTCATGTCCCTAGGACATTACTTCATAGATTGACGTTGGTAGATAGCATCACATCCCTTGCTCTTCTTTCGACACCATCGTCACTTCAATTTATAATCTTTCTATATATGCTCAACGTTCTTCTTTGCAATAGTCTTGTATGGATATGATATTTCTGTCGTACGTATACAAGCGTTGTTCAGAATTAGTCCGAGCTTTGTAGATTCATCATATGACGGGACTTTGCAGCCTCCAAAATGAATTGTATCTTACTCAAAATATACTTTGTGATGAGTATACGCTTAGTTCAAAGTTTAAAATTGTGCAATTGAGTATTGAGGCATTTTTCGTTCGTGAGGCGGGGCGTAAGCCTCAATGCGTTATGCGGAGTAAGCCTCAAAATCCAGTAATTGTGTGAAGTGAAAATAAAAGTTAAAAGTTATTTTTTATATAATACCAAAATAAGCAATCAAAGATGAAAGATATACCGTATACATAAGCCCTTATGAGTTGTAGAAGATTCGTTGCACACATAATATTTCATCAATGGGCAAACACAGGAGAATTACACAAATATGAGCTTCTATGAGTTGTCATAGAAGACACATCAAACATCCCAAAAATGCCCTTATGCGTACACTATAATGTGTATACACATAAAAACAAAGAAGTGCATGTGCAATCATATACCCACATGGGGCCTGACGAGTGTGTTATTGGCACACATGTGACGTTTAAGGATATTGCGTGGGTCAGACAATAAATTCAAGTTCGAGCTCGATCATTCTATATGGGTAGATAAACGTCAACACAGCTAGAAGAATAAGAACAAATATAAGATCTTGTATCCAAATGGAACCGCAAGTAAACAGTTATGACCGGAGCACCTTGAACTAGGTGGTTTGACACCAAATGGTACCACTAAATAACGATCATGGCTAGAGCCCGCATGCTTTCTAATAGCATTAAATTCTAGAAATATGAATCAATAGGATATAATCAATAGGGCACAAACCCCTCTGTTAGTTAAAGTGGATTCAAATTTATCCCCTTAGACAAACATCCACCCCAGGTATACAAGGTTCCCTTGGACGATGCAACCCATAGCTGCCGACAAGGATCCTTCTATCAGATTGGGTCGACTATCTCCTCTTACTAAGTAGATCAGGGATCGTGATGGCCCGAGATGACAAAACTATGGGATCTTAATTGGATCCATCATCCATTCCCCCTCCGTCCGCTTTACGTGCAAGATGGTGAAAATTTTAATTTTAAATATTAAATCTCACATATCAAACCCATATGGTTACTATATGCTAAATACATGTATCTATATATATCTGATTGACGACAAGCCTTAATCAAAAGTTCTCTCTCATTATCGGGAGGGGTAATTAACTATAGGACTTGCGCCTATAGGAAACCATAACTGAAATCATAAAGTCCTCGCAAAATGAGGGTGAAATCTCTAGGAATTGTCTTATCTTCAAACCCAATCTAACTTCTGAAAATTTATCACAGAACTTAATCAAGTAAAACTTTCTTGAGGGGTGGCTGAGGCGCGAATTTTTGGAACCCACATACCTACAACAAACTTCACTAAACCTTGAAATCCTTTTGTCAATTTGAAGCATGCTACTGTGTTAAGCTTCTTAATCTCAATCAAGAAGGGGAGGGCACCAATCAAATAAAAGTGGACTCCTTAAAGAAGAAGAGGAAGAAGAGATATTAGAAAAAGGAGAAAATAGAAATCTTATTTCCTGAATTCAATTATAATATTTGGAACCTATTATAACATTTACATCGATCGATTTTGGATTTAATAAAGAGTTAAGACCAGCTAGTTAATAAAAGTAAAATAAAAGAACTAAAAATAGGTTTGAGACTAGTTTGATGCTGAAATAAATTGAACCATAAGTTGTTGCAGCCAGCCGGTTATTGTAATGCTTCAATTCTTTGAAAGATTTGCTTCATTCTTCTTTTATGATAGACTTTAAAATATTTTATTAAATTGAGACTGATTTTTTAAATTGTTCATCCATTTTCTTAGCATTGTTGTTATACTATCTTTGAATCAAAAAGAATATCTTGTTTCTTAACACTCTCATCACCATGAAAAATAGCCTTGTCCTCAAGATTGAGAGATAAAAAGAAAGCAAAAAGAACTTTCATGCAAAACCCTTGGTACCAAGTAGCTGCAGGTCTTTTAAGATGAAATTAAGTTACGCTAAAATGATAAAAAACATGATTGTTGTAAAAATCAAAGTATTCTTATGCTTTAAGGATCCATGTTTCGATATTGAATCCATTAAAGCGAGAAAATTTCATTTTTATTGATTTAAGAAAAGAGAAACTTAGAGGAGAAGGTGGTAGCTATGGAGAAGGGATTTGATCGGTGAAACTAAGGATGCTAGTGGAAGAGGATGGATCTTGTTAGAGTGTGGGTGGTAATGAACAAACTATCAAGTTTCTTCTCAACATAATGCATGAAAGCATGGAGTTGTTAAAAGGGTAAGCCAATGAAGACAAATTGAATATTGGCTTGTTGTAGAGATTTTTAGATTTCAGAGAATTATAATTCTTAATTGGTTTGCATTGTTTGGAGAACTTATGCCATGTAAGTGTTTTCATGTTAACAGGTCTTTGGTGGCCACTGAAAGTGAAGTAAAGGTGTGGTTCTTAAGAACAAGAACCTTATCCCGATGTAATCATGAACGCAGCTGACATTTGGAAGTAAGATTGCAGTGGCATAAATGTAATCAAAGGATTGGAAACAGTAGAACGAACAAAAGTTGACTATTCAGTTGAAAGAGGCTAAAAATATGGGTTGGTGGCCGTCTGGAAACAATTGGCATCTGGAAGAGAGTGTAGCTGCTGAAGAAATGGCCGCATATGTTGGAAAGGTGCTGTTCTTGCAGATGCAGAATCTGAAAAATTGCAGAAATCCATGGTGCAGAATTCAGGATGTTGTGGGACTGCTTGTGTAGGAAGTGGCGGCAGCCGAATTCTAGAAGGAAAAAAAACAGAGGTGCTGGTTGGTGAGCACAATTTGGTGGTCACTGATGCTGAAGAACGGGTGGAGGCTGTTGGCGATGAAGCAAGAACCGTGGAGGAGAAGGAATGTCGTGGTGTGGAGAAAGAATTCTGTGCAAATAAAGCACCATTTGTTAAGCTTCTTTATCTACATCGAGAAGGGGAAGAATTTTTTTGAGTAGGTGTGAAATCCTTAAGGAAGAAGAGATTAGAAAAGGGAGAAAATTGAAATCTTATTTCTTGAATTTAATTATAGCATTTGGGGTCTATTATAATGTTTACGTAAACCGATTTTAGGTTTAATAAAGGCTTAGACTAGCTGGTTCAATACAAGTAAAATAAAAGAACTAAAAATGGGTTTAAGACTTGTTTAATACTGAATTAAATTGAACCACAAGTTGTTGTAGCCGGCCGATTGCTACAGTGCTAACAATCTTTGAAAGATTTGCTTTTCTTCTTTTATCATGGACTTTAAATATTTTATCATCTTGATGCCGATTTTTAGAATTGTTCATTCATTCTTAACATTGTTGTTGTACTATCTTTGAATACAAAAGAATATATTGTTGCTTAATATATTGCCTATATAAGCTCCTTTTTTCTGCATCTTCAATCCCATAGCCTTTGTATTGTCATTGAACTTATCTTATGTCTCCTCTATCCAATAAATATTATGTTAAAGTATTATTGCTGAATCAAGAACATTTTGAAATTCTTAAAATTCCTTTTTGGAAAAGGGATTTCTTTGATTGCACCCACACTTCTTTAACGTCAAGTGATTCTTTGAAGTGGTGAAGCCTTGTTGACTGCACATTTGACATACGTTGAAGCACTGACACTAGAGGTATGACCAAGGAGTGTTTATTAAGAGTTATTTATCGAGGCGTAAGCAGAGTGACTGACAAAGTTGCAAAAGGAGATGCAACTGATGTGGTTGGTTTAAGCAATAAACGTGTTGTGCTTGACCGCATAAGAAACAAACCAACATAATTACTATTTCAGAAATAATCAAACAATCATATACCTGATCCAGCCTTTAACATAAAAGGAATGTTCGTTGCCCCCACCACATGACCCGCATTGAATTCATCAACCGTTCTGGATAAACAATAAAATTTTTAGAAATGGTCAAATGTTCACCAACTATCTTTTCTAAAATTAAAAAAAAAACACAAAGATACTATTTTTAATAAAAAAAAATCACTCATTGATTAAAGGAGAACTTAAAAGGAAAAAAATTATATAAAAATATCTTAATATAATTGATGAGCTTGCATTCCAGTAAATCGGTATTGAGATTTGAATAGTTTATGATATAATATAGAAATACTAATTACAATACAAATTAAGGGCATTTTGTTACGTATTGTATTAGTTTGATGTTTTGTATAATAAATTAACACCATTAAAAAAATTCTAACTTAGCAATGGATAAGGATAAGGGTGTATGATAAGACAAAGAAAGCTTGTCCGTTATAGGGTTATACCTGACGTCCAGATAGCGGTGTCCAGCCTGCAAGAGCTCATGGGCTACACGAACCGGCACCGACGCGGGAACCACCGCCTCCTGTTCCTCGTCGGTGAACATTGACCTGATGCCATCGGCTAAATTTCTCAAAACACATGACACCAAGATTTCGCTTGGATTCATGGAATTTAATTGAAAGAGAATGAAATAAAATATGAGAGTTGGAATTTCTTTTCATTTTATTCCCTTCCCTTTCCTTGATCCAAACATTACCCAACAGAAACGATAACATCTAAAACCCAATACCCGACGAAACTTCGGCCGCGACTCTGTAGCCGGAGAACGATTCGCCGGTGTGGGAACTGCCTCGATGAAGTAAGCCTCGCCGGCCGCGACAGAGGAAACCTGTAAAAGGTTTGTTAGGAAAAAGGTAAATAAAATAGTAGAGATGAAAATGGTAGGGAGGAACCGAAGCATAAACCTGTTGCCTGTTAGTGTTGAGAGGGCAGCGGGGAGAGAGAAGCCGGCTAAAACGGCCATTAGACCACTCAAAACGTTCTTTTTAGCTCCTTATTCTTCCACTGTTCTGATTGCTAGCGAACAATTGTGGGATGAACGACAGTCCACAGGTGATCCGGCGAATGAGGTGTTCTGCTATTCGAATTTCAAATCAACATGTTTTTTATATTCCTCTGGAAACCCCGAAGTACTGTTTGGATGAAATTTGGATTTTGTAAAAATTGATTTAGTATTCTTTTAGTTAATTAAATCGAAAAATTATTTGGTATAATCAAAGTTGCGAAAATCCGATGGAAAAACGAATAAAAAGAAAATGTAATAAATAATAATATTATCGATACGTCATGCAAAAAATTATCTTAATCGGGCATGAATCTCAAGGCAAAAATCAAGTTGGAAACTTCAAAAATTAAATCCGGGAGCATCTGAACTCTGATTTCAGCAGACTTACAGTCAAACTGCGTCTCGGAAATACGAACCCAACGACACCAAATTTGACTCAATCCAAGCCAAATGAGTCTAAATCAAGGACTCAAAGCGTTGTTGGGAGGTTCAAACCGCAATTTGAGTTACGAAACGGTCTCCGATTTTAACGCGTTTATACTCGAATCGAGCTGCTCAACGAGACGAATCCAACGAGCCCAAGATCGCCAAATTCCGACATCATTAAGACCTTCAAATGTCCAACGAATGGTGCATGATCAAAGGATTCAATATCGGCCGTCCATTCAAACCACTCCCAATTCGCCCCTGATCTCACACCTATTTACAAGTCATGCTACTCCAGAAAAACTATAAATATAGCCCTCATTCTTCACAAGAGGGGATAGGCTAAGAGAAAGAAGAAGAAAAGGAGGAGAATTAGCTCCTCGACCACCACCAGAGTTCGTCCTGCCGCCCGAACACGTCGGGATTCTGCGTGATATTCGGGAGAACGCCGAAATTCTACCCAACTTCCACGTGATGCTGAAATTCTTCCCAATTAACAACAGAATTCCCTCCTGACGCCGAAACTCCGCCTAAATGAAGCCGGAGTTCTCCTCTGTCACCAACAGACATCGGACTTCTACCCGACGTCAGACTTTCACTCTTCGCCAAGTTTCTACCTGACGCCGGACTTCTACCGGTTATCGGACTTCGCTGGACGTCTATGCGAAGATGGATTTCTTTCCTTTATTGGACTTCTACCTGACGTCGTCCTTCTAATCTTTGTCGTCAGACAACAGTTCTTCTGACCTCCGTCGCCATCCGATTACGGTCCTCCAGACTTATGTCGCCGGCCGACTACAATCTTTCCGACCTCCGTCTCGCGCCGACTACCATCCTCCTGACTTATGTCGCCCGTCGATTACAATCTTTCTGACCTCCGTCGCCCGTCGACTATGGTCCTCCTAACTTATGTCGCCCGCCGACTACAGTTCTTCCGACCTCCGTCGCCCGCCGACTACGGTTCTCCTTACTCACATCGCCCGCCAACTACAGTCCTTCTGACCTCCGTTGCCAACCAACTACGGTCCTCCTGATATACGTCGCCCACCGACTACAAGTCTTCCGACCTCCGTCGCCCTCCGACTACGGTCCTTCCGACCAAACGAACATGTCAAGAATGATTCTTTGTATTCACATTATGTAATGTACTCTATAAAATGTACATCAAGCTAAGGCCTTCCCCCAAGGAAGGGCCTCATTTGTAATCGACTGCAATACTAGTGTATTCATTCAAACTGTGCTAGACCCCGTGGTTTTTCTCCCTTTTCAGGGGTTTTCCACGTAAAAATCTTGATGTCTCATAAATGCTAGACCCTTTCTCTTATCTGATTGCGTGCCGGATTTTCGTACAACGCTAAGACTACAAACTTTATATTTCTGTACCGCCGTGAATACTCCTGGACGCAACAGTTTGGCGCCATCTGTGGGAATATGGTTCCCGACTGGGGGAAACCTTTGCTCCAATCTCAAAAGATCGCTCTTATCAACTTCTTGACATCAGTCATTGTCGCATCAGATGCGGACTGGGGGGCAACTTCGACCCCAATTATGGTTAAAAAGATTCTCTTATGCTTTCTATATCAATGTGATATGTTAGGAAAATCTCAACAAACGCAAGGATACTTCTGATCAATAATAAGCTTCATACAGTCCCTTACTGGGCTTCTACTCCTTGGACAAAATCTTAATCTCAACCTCAAAAAGGCAGTAACGGTCTAAAGATAGACCATTCTTCAATTTTGATTCGGGATATACGCGGCGTTCGCCCCCTCCCATTCAAAGCAAAATCAATTCTAGGGGGTTTCGATTTGACCTCTTCCACACAGGTTAACTTCATCGAGCAAAGGCTCCGACATATAACCTCGGAAAGGTCTCACATCCTTGGTGGATTTTCTCGACCTCTTCCACACAGGTTAACGTCGTCGAGCAAAGGCTCCGACATACAACCTCAGAAAAGTCTCACATCCTTGGTAGATTCTCTCGATCTCTTCCACACAGGTTGACTTCGTCGAGCAAAAGCTCCGACATACAATCTCGGAAAGGTCTTACATCCTTGGTATATTCTCCCGACCTCTTCCACACAGGTTAACGTCGTTGAGCAAAGGCTCCGACATATAACATCGGAAAGGTCTCACATCATTGGTGGATTCTATCGACCTCTTCCACACAGGTTAGCGTCGTCGAGAAAAAGCTCCGACATACAACCTCGGATAGGTCTCACAACCTTGGTGGATTCTTCCGACCTCTTCCACAAAGTTTAACATCATCGAGCAGGGCTCTGACATGCAACCTCGGATAGGTCTCATACCCTTAGTGGATTCTCTCGACCTCTTCCACACAGGTTAACGTCGTCGAGCAAAGGCTCCGACATACAACCTCAGAATGGTCTCGCATCCTTGGTGGATTCTCTCGACCTCTTCCACACAGGTTAACGTCATCGAGCAGGGCTCTAACATACAACCTCGGATAAGTCTTACATACTTGGTGGATTCTCCCTACCTCTTCCACACATGTTAACGTCGTCGAGCAAAGGCTTCAACATATAGCCTCGGAAAGGTCTCACATCCTTGGTAGATTCTCTCGACCTCTTCCACACAGGTTAACGTCATCGAGCAGGGCTCTGATATACAACATCGGATAGGTCTTACATCCTTGGTGAAATCTCTCGATCTCTTCCACGCAGGCTAATGTCGTCGAGCAAAGGCTCCAACATACAATTTCAGATAGGTCTCATATCCATGGTGGATTCTCTCGACCTCATCCACACAGGTTAACTTCATCGAGCAGGGCTCTGACATACAACTTCGGATATGTCTCACATCATTGGTAGATTCTCTCGAGCCCTTTTACAAAGGTCAACATCACCGAATAATGTTCTGAGTGAATAATGTTCTCTCTATAAAGACTCCAAGAACGTAAGTGATTGATAAATCTATCACTTATACAAAGAGTTCAGCAGCCTAAAATTCCCTCACAAAAATATGGGAGGCACTATGTCAAAGCATTTCCTAAAGATGCAATCGCAATTCAGCTTGCTCCGAAAGATAAGATCTCAACTTCATATACAATATCATTGAAGTTATATTACAAGATTGCACATTAAGCAACAAGACAGATTACAATTTGGTCTTCATCAGGCCTCAACTCAGTTAACACTATACGTTTGTCGCTAGAATGTCGGCATAACACACTGCTCCGGCCCCTTGAATCAGGGATATCTGATGTCGGCAAACTTCCGTATGGATGTTTATTATCTTTGCAAAATGCAACTAGACCATCGTCATCATCGGCTCTTTGCCTAATGTTCGTCGTCGGTCCTTTACTTTGTATAAGCCATCATCGTCTTCTCACTCAACTGCTACTTGCAACGCACACTCGAACTCTCTCCTTTGACTCTACACTCAGTCATTGACTGCTAATGGGCTTCAACTCGATCGTCCATCGCAAGCGAACTTCCGCTCAAATGGCTTAGAAAATCCTTAAACTCCTACACGAGAAGAGGGGGCGCTAATTCGAGCAGGGCAAATTTCTCACTCGTAAATAGCGGAAGCCTCAACTGTCAGAAAGCCGGGGGCGGAAGAAATCCCCTAACTCCTGCACGAGAGGAGGGGCGCTAATTCGAGCAGGGGAAATTTTCCACTCGCAAATAGTGGAAGCCTCAACTGTCAGAAAGCCGAGGGGAGGAAGAAATCCCCTAACTCCTGCATGAGAGGAGGGGCGCTAATTCGAGCAAGAAAAATTTCCCACTCGCAAATAGTGGAAGCCTCAACTGTCAGAAAGCCGGGGGGGATGAGAAGAAAAATCCCCTAACTCCTGCATGAGAGGAGGGGCTCTAATTCGAGCAGGGAAAATTTCCTACTCGAAATTAGCGGAAGGCCTCAACCGTCAGAGAGCAAGAGGGAGAAGAGGAGAAGGGGAAAGTTTCTCCTTGGCCCAAGGGGTCTATTTATAGCATTTTTAGAGGGAAAAAGAGGCTTCTAGAAACATCTTGAATTATCCTCAATTTTTCAAGAAAAATTTTGGCAGGCACGTGTTAAAAAAAATTAAGAGGGGCGGCTGAACCCGCCGCCCTCTTAAAAAAAATTCAAAATTTGAAAACATGCCAGCAACCGCCGGCCAGAGGCAACCGCGCTCCTATGGGGCGCGCCTGTTCGTGCGCCGCGCGAGCACCGGCGCCAGTCGGCGGGTGGCGGCCGGCTGGGGCCACCCAGGCGTATCCTGGCCCAATTTAAGGCCTGGACAGTCCAATTCAGACTTTTTTGGGATCCCCGGACATGTTTTTTAACTTTCTGGACTCGATTTCGACACTTTCGGAGCTCAACGGGGCCTCTACAATCATGATTGTGCTAGTGTTCAACTTTCAGAACGTAATTTTTTGCGATTCGGCAAATGTAAAATTTCGGAACAAATATTTTTGGACTTCTAGAGCTTCGACGTCCAAAAATATGGGGGCAACTGATAGGTCATGCAAAAAATTATCTTGATCGGGCACAAATCTCGAGGCAAAAATCAACTTGGAAACTTTAAAAATTAAATTCGGGAGCATCTGAACTCCGATTTCAGTAAACTTATAGTCAAATTGAGCGCCTCGGAAATATGAACCCAACGACACCAAATTTGACTCAATCCAAGCCCAACTGGGTCTAAATCAAGGACCCAAAGCGCTGTTGGGAGGTTCAAACCACAATTTGAGTT